CTCTGGTCCCTCTCTCGGATCTCTCCCTGCATAGTCTCTCTTTGGTCTCTCTCTCTAGTCTCTCTCTGGTCCCTCTCTGGTCTTTCTCTCTCTCTCTGTTCTCTCTCTCTCTCTGGTCCCTCTCTGGTCTTTCTCTCTCTCTCTGGTCTCTCTCTCTCTTCTCTCTCTCTCTGGTCTCTCCCTCTGGTCTCTCTCTCTGGTCTCTCTCTCTCTCTGTTCTCTCTCTCTGGTCTCTCTCTCTCTGGTCTCTCTCTGGTCTCCCTCTCTGGTCTCTCTCTCTGGTCTCTTTCTCTGGTCCCTCTCTCGGGTCTCTCTCTGCATAGTCTCTCTTTGGTCTCTCTCTCTGATCTTTCTCTCTCTCTCTGGTGTCTCTCTCTGATCTTTCTCTGGTATCTCTCTGGCCTCCCTCTCTGGTCTCTCTCTCTGGTCTCTCTCTGGTCTCCCTCTCTGGTCTCTCTCTAGTCAAAGAGGCTAATCTCGATAAGACATTGCTAATAGTAAATCGTTGACAGTTGATTTATTCCAATAACCCAGAATCTGCATAAGTGTTTTTGCGTCCTTGTTCTGTACTATTGTGTATGAAAAGTTTGATTGTATTGAGTTTGGGCGGTGGGGGTGGGGGTGCTCATACACGCTTCTTGCCTCAGCCCATTCCTTCTCAGCCGAATTAACACCGTTCAAACAAAATAGATTAATCGGTCAGTAATCGCTCGGTGGATGGGGCATGAGCAGTCTCAGGAGGGTCACGTGATTGAAAGCCGTTGTCCGTGCACGCTCCATGCGCGCTCCCGTCGCTCTCACGTCCACTGCACGCCACGCACTCCTGGATCGATAAGCGGCCACATCCACGCTGTCATCCGAGAACTGCCACAACATGTCTGCAAATAAATATTCCAGGGAGGAAGCTATGACTGCTGCTGCGTTTACCAAATGTACTCACGGTGTCGGTTCTTCTCCCGTTACCGCGCACACGATCACGGCTTTCAGTCTTTATTTTCACTCAACAAGAAATATTTCAATGTGACATTTATCTGCAGTGTATTGTATGGACAGTTATGGCTAAGGAATTTAAATTATGTCATAAATTCATTCTTTTTCTATTGTGTATTTATTTTATTGTTTTATTTTTATTTATGTATATAGTTAATTGTTTTATTTTGATTGTTTTTATTTTGTTTTAATTGTTTTTATTTTATTTTAATTGTTTTTATTTTATTTTAATGGTTTTTATTTTATTTTAATTGTTTTTATTTTATTTTAATTGTTTTTGTTTGATTTTAATGGTTTTTTATTTTATTCTTAATTGTTTTTTTTTTATTTAAATCTGCCAGACTTGTATGTTTGTTGTGTTGCTTTTATCTGTGTTTTATAAAATGTGCTATATAAATAAAATGGATTGGATTGGAATAGGATTTTTCATCTAGTTTACATGTCCATTTTTGGGTCAGGGGTTGGCAATCTTAGCTGCTTTTTCTCATATATCGCACCAGTCGGCGGATCAAACCCACAATTTTCTTTTAAATAAAAATATCTAATAATAGACTATTTCAGTTTTTATTTTATCCAGGACCTATTACTTATTTTGATTCAGAACTGGACCAAACAGAGACTTCAAAGCCCTACTGCACTTTTATGTTTTTTTCCATGTAATGTTCCTTTTTGAAACAATATCGACACTATCTGAACTCAACATATGAAACAATATCTTAACGCTGGACATTGTAAAGCTCTTTGGGAGACCTTGGTCTGTAAAAAAGACGCTATTTACATAAAGATTTGTATTCTTTGATTTGTATTCTTGTTTTTATTCATTCTGCAAAGAGGACCGTGGGCTGTGAGCTTCCTGTTCTGGAGGTTCTTTATAAATCCAGACTTTTAAACAAAGCTCTTAGGATTGTCAACGACTCTTCTGGCCACCCTGGAAAAGCCATGTTCCAGCTTCTTCCCTCTGGCAGAAGATATCGCTCTCTGAGATGCAGGACATCTCGTTACGCTAACAGTTTTTATCCACAAGCTGTTATCAGTGTGAACAGAGCACTTTAATGATTTGCACTTGTTTTGAAACTGTTTTAGTCGATCGATTTCACAGTGACATTTGTTTACTGTTTCATTTGTTTTATTTCTGTCTTTTAATGCTGTTTTATGTCTGTATTTGTCTGTGCACACTGGACACTTTTTGCTAATGTATTCCAATGTGTTTTTTTTTACTGCAAATGGCAAATAAACTGAATCTGAATCGGAGATGTAGCACTGTATCCCACAACAACTTTCCCTTAGGACAATGAAGTGTATACAAAATTATAAGGTTTCAAATATTTCTCTACTTTAACTTTTAGATTGATGTATTCATTTGTTTTTTTATGGATGAATGTGTTTCTGCTGGACACCTGGATTTCTCCTACAGGGGATCAATAAAGTATCTACAAATCTGAGCTACTTTCGCCATGGTTGAATTATGTAACACTGTTTTCATTGTACATGTACTATACAATTGTAATTGTTTCACAGCTATTCTCCTTTCTATAATTTAAAGCTGGGGTACCTCATTTTAATGCAATACATAACTAGTTGATTCTAAAAACCATTCACAGTACTTGTATTTTTGGCAAGAGAATAATTTATAATTATTTTATGGATCTTGAAAATGAGTTGAGACCTCTTTTTGAAGCATTAGTTTCTACTATTTTACACTAAATACGTTTTTTTTTAAACACTATTCCAAGTCTTGCCCCGGGTCAACTGTGGCGTGTTGATGACAATGACTAAACATTTGAAAACAATAAACACGGTCTGGTTGTTATTCTTTCAAGTTTCTTTATGAGGGAAAAAAGACATGATGCAACAGCGGTTTACATAACTTTGACAGATTTATTTGTGAAAAACTACAAGCAAAATCCATAAATAGACATTTCTAGTTGAAGCGGAGGGAAATGATCAGGATTAGCCTAAAAGCGCAAAGTCGTGCACATGCCTCAAAACATGTAATTTAACATCAGAAGCAGGACAAAGCTGTAGTCTGCTGAAAATCACAAACATAATGTGACCATTTCACAAGGGAAACAATGACACATCAGCTAGAAAAAAAAGAAAAAAATCAAATCAAATATTTAAACAAAAGATGGATTATTTTGTCCCTACAACTACAACTTTTTCCATTTTTTGCCCAAACAGAGCTATAACTTGAAAAGCATTGAACAAGACATTGTTATAGGAAGAAATGAGTTTGTATTATACACTTCACAGTTAAGATTATACAGTCAGTAAACAAGCATTCTATATTTGAGTCTCTGACAAAGCTAAAAAATGTAACCATCTTTACACAGTAAATTAAGGTTACTGGTCGCACACAAGAACAGAACTGCTTGCGCGGGAAAAGGAAACAAAATGAATTTAGCTCCAAATGCCGGTTTACCTTAAATTTATAGTGTTTGCACCTTTTTCATAATTCTATTTACAAGCAATAATTAATACAATATACGCCGCAAGTAACCATTTTGTCAATAATATTAATAAAAGAGCCATTTGAATGATGTTGGAGTACTCTGTAGTGGCAGATAAGGCAGGTGTTGACGTGGCTCTTTAGGCCACAGATTGCATTAGAACAGGGAGAGGATTTTCACTCCAAATTCCAAAAACAGGTTTGTCTTTCCTCGCTTAAAACACCAATTTTTCTGCATAATAAAATGTAATTACACATTTAATTGCTTTTAAAATTTGAGGCGAGGACATTGCCTACTTTTGGGAATGCATTGACCTAAGCTTCCTTCATGTGACCAGAGGAACCGTCGCCTCCAAGGACATGTGTGGACAATAAGAACACCGCTTACATGGATTATATTAGTCTTTATTAAATGGATATTCATCTCACAGATAATTGCATTTCAAATTGTTATTCATCTGTTTATGTATCATGTATTATGAAATACCTTTGGTCCTTCAATAAATAAAAGATATCATATACACATTTATTCTTTATACAATTTCATACAGTAAAAGGAAATTAAGTGGGATCAGCAAAGTTGATAAGTGAATTAAAATCCTTAAATAATCCTTGCTGCCCTAAAAGTCGCATTACATCAACCAGAAATAACAAGATTTTTTTGCCTTCAATGACAGGAGTCTTAAATTAATTAAAACACAGGAAAAAAAAAGGCGATTGAGTTGCCCGTCTCGTCTGTACTTGTTATGGAGGAGAAAAAGCTGTCCACAGGACCACAAATAAAAATAAATCCTCACGAGTTTGGACACGGCGGTCTATTTTACAGTTCGACAGCGTTTCACCGGAGTGGAAATCGCCGCATGGAACAATCCCTCAGTCACAACAAAAAACCAAAAATCATCTCGAGGAAAGAGCGATTCAGGAATGCAGAAACAGAGCTTTAGTGTTATCACAACAGCCTACACTGTACAGTTACAGACAGCAGCACGACCAGGGCGGCTTCCACGGCAACGGCGCCAGTGTCTTTTGCCAGTGGTGAAAAACCAGCTCCGTCGTTTTCTACTGAAAACTGTGACTTCTGAAGGTCTTTTTCACAGTGTGTATAGCACCAGGGCACGCATGTGTGTGTGTGTGTGTCCGACTCTCCGCTGTTCCAGCACTGAGGAGCGGACGGTTGGCGGCGCTGCGGCAAAGCGTAGAGAAAAGGAAGGTCAACGTATACGGGTGCGACAGGTAATAAATAAGGGAAAAAGAGTTTGAAAAGAGGTGGTGGTTATTGTGCCCAGCGGAGAAGTCTTCCTTACAAAAAAACAGAACAAAAAAACTTGGCCTGACATCCACATACAAATATAAAACAATACATACAAGAGTCTGGATGCTACTGCGCTTTGGGGACTCGGGGTTAATCCTTTTGTCTCTCCTTTTACCACAAGTCTTTGCTGCGTCCAGACAAGTTGTGGAATAGAGGCGGGTGAATGTGCTCCCCCAAAGAGATCCGCACAGTCCAGAACGTAAAAGAATCAGAGTTGGGAGTGGGAGGGGCTGGGGCGAGGGCAGGGCTTCAGAAGGACTCGTCGTGCCCCAATGACAGCTCCCCTTTGGGCGTGGAGGCACGCGACGAGCCCTTGTCCATGCTCTCGGAGCCGGAGCTCGGGTGTTGCTGTTCGGAGGCGGCGCTGGACGTGATGGTGGAGGAGGAGGTGGAGGAGGAGCGCGTCTTCTCCTTAAAGTCTGTAATGATCACTGTGACGTTGCCCACGGTGATGGCCAGCTGCTGCGCCGTGCTCCGGTCGATGTTCTTCAGCTTGGGCCTGAAGCACAAACGAGAGACAGGTCAGAACCAAAGACTGAATACAACGAGAGAGGGGGAAAGAGAGAGGGAGCGAGAGGGAGAGAGCGAGAGGGAGAGAGCGAGAAGGAGAGAGGGAGAGAGAAAGAGTGAGAGCGAGAGCACGAAATATGAGATACAATGTGGAGAGAGGGGGAGAGAGGAAGCTTGAGAGAGAGGGAAAGAGAGCGAGAGAGCAAGAGAGTGAGAGCACAAAATAGGAGATACAACATGGAGAGAGGGGGAGAGAGAGGGAGCAAGAGGAAGCGTGAGAGAGGGAAAGAGAAAGAGCAAGAGAGCAAGAGAGAGCGAGAGAGCAAGAGAGTGAGAGCACAAAATAGGAGATACAAGGTGGAGAGGGGGAGAGAGAGAGGGTGCGAGAGGAAGCTTGAGGGAAAGAGCGAGAGAGAGCACGAAATAGGAGATACAACGTGGAGGGGGGAGAGAGGGAACGAGAGGGAGAGAGGGACCGAGAGGAAGTGTGAGAGAGAAAGAGCGAGCGAGAGCAAGAGAGAGCGAGAGCACAAAATATGAGATACAATGTGGAGAGAGAGGGAGGGGGAGGAAGCTTGAGAGAGGGAAAGAGAAAGAGAGCGAGAGAGCAAGAGAGTGTGAGAGCACAAAATAGGCGATACAACGTGGAGAGGGGGGGAGAGAGAGAGAGGGAGCGAGAGGAAGCGTGAGAGGGAAAGAGCGAGAGAGCAAGAGAGAGCAAGAGAGAGAGCGAGAGAGAGAGAGCGAGAGAGCACGAAATAGGAGATACAACGTGGAGAGGGGGAGAGAGAGAGGGAGCGAGAGGAAGCGGGAGAGCGAGAGAGCACGAAATAGGAGATACAATGTGGAGAGGGGGGAGAGAGCAAGGAAGAGCGAGCGAGGAGATAGATTTGGGGCTATACATTTACGCTAAAACAAAGTCAGCACGAAAGACGTAAACTTTCCACTAGATATAAAAGAATAGATAAAAAATGTGTCCCTAAAATGTCTAAAACAAATGTTTTTTTTTTTTTTTACAAGAATATCATTTATTTCAAGCTTTATGGTTTGTCAAGAGGTATTGTTTTAATTCATTTTTAGTTCATTTCCAAAAACATACCCCAAGAAGTTTCCTCTTGCTACAATCTTCAACAAGTTTTATTATTGGCTTGAAATTAAAAAGTATTTGCTCAAGAATATGTATTTGTACGATACTGAAATGGGTCTGGATCATCAAAAAGACTAGTTGGTAAAGGGAAAACTGTAAACCTTTCAAATATATATATTTTTTTCTAATGGCAGTTATCCGTTTCTGCGAATGAACAGTACTTTGAGTCCAGATTTTGTGAGTGATATCAACAGACAATAATGTTGGATTTTTACCTGTAGCAATTCAATGCTTTTAAACTGGACTGAATTAACTTCTGTTTTGGGTCATGGTTTGGTCTGAAATGTTGAGAGACCCTGAAGTAGAGAAATGTGTTTTCCCCACAAAATAATACCAAGACGGATTTCTTTTTTTGTGAATGAAACACGGTCGTCAAAATGATCAGTGAAACAGCTGCGCCGCAAAAGTAAACTCATACAATATTTACGCATTGATAATTTCCTACAATTTCCAAAGAGATGTTATTTGTTTGAACAGACGTTTGGGTGGAGTTGTGCGATGTCAGGCACAATATGTGTTTCTGAGCAACAAGCAGGAGGTTGCCAGCTCTGAGGGGGCGCTAACTCGAAACGCTGCATCTGACACATAAAGTGGTTACACGGAGAGAGTGGGAGTTTAGTGTAAAAAGTGCGTTTGTGGAATTGTCTGAGGTTTCCCACCAGCCAGAAACCAGTTCCTCAGAAGTCACTCGCAGCACTCACGGTGAAACTAGGTGACACGTCTCACAAAAGGGGAAATTCAGGCTCTGTTTTTATCTGAAATGTAAGGGACTGGCTGACTGCAACTTCTCTCCAGATAAAAAGAAACCTAGATGTTTACGAGTACGAGATTACAGATGTATACTTGATGTGGTAAAAGACAAAACAACTAGAATGTCAAAGATACTACACTTTCAGATTAGAGCAGCACATTTTTTAAAAAGATGAATAATAAATACTTAAATTAAATAGTTTGACTTAGTTTGATTAGATATTTCTACACTTTCATGAATGCTAATTGCACAACACTATAATGTTTTGCACCTTTGTGAAGGGGGGGGGGGGTAGTGTTAGTAGATGTAAATGAGAGATTTGAGATTTGGGAGTTGAAGTTATTGCCAAAATATGTCAATCAATTCTACTCACAAACCAAAAAAATACTTCCCGTCGTGCTACTCATTGCTCCAACAATTGAAAACGCAGCCTGGAACTATACTTTTACAGAACACTGAAAGAATTCTAAAGAGGAACTTCACTGTAACAGACAACATGCGTTTATGGTCGGAACTCATAAGTGCTTGATGATCGATGTCAGCGATTAATTCAACACTGCTTTGTACAGCAGGGGTGTCTAAACTAATGTCTCCTTGCATACCAAAAGTAGCTATTGCAAAGTTACATAAATTCAAGATCATCCAGCCAACTTAAGTTCCCCCTTAAGCTCAGAACCGTTAAAAGCCTTACATTGACATTACTTGTATGACATTTGGTTTTGATCGTGTCACAAAACGTCGTCATCGTCAACCCCTGGACAATTCTGGTGCTCAAAGTATACTCTAACTAAAAAAGTTTGGACAACTTTCTACCACCAATGGCGCAAAGCATTATGGCTGATGTGCAAGTAGCAAATGTCTGTACTTATGTAAGCCGATATTTTTTTGCATAATTCAAGAAATGCAAGCTGATTTTCTGTCATGTTGTGATTTTCTTTGGTTCACGGAGGAAGAATGGATTCATCTTTATCTAGTTTGGATGCTCCTCAGAGAAACCTTTTCAACGAGAGCTCCACCTCTAGAGAACATCTTGGAGGATCCCATCGCTCTGGTCACACAGTAATCACACTCTGTCAGGCGTCGCTGCTTTACAACAAAAGCCCAGTTTAATTTGCATCTGTTGCTTTGGGAATCCCAGCTCAACAGGTGGCGGCTGAGCACTGGCGCACCACACATTTCAACATTTAAAAATAGCCCGCATTAGCCTCAAAGCATGATTCAGGAAAATTCGATGAAACATGCGTTAGGCTAATGCTGTTGGATGGAAAACAAACTAAATATTCTAAGTATCGAAGCATACATGATTGACTGATGTAAGGCACATAACAAGATAGTCTTACCTGAAAATGTGTGCGTTCTTGTTGGTCTTTGTCACCGACTTGCCAGACTGTATACTGTGTTTGTCGCTGGGCGGGCTCTGGTGCTCTGTCTTAGGTCTGTGAAGACAATGTCAACCATTGACAATGAGAAATTATAAAAGCGTTATATTCTTCGATTAAGTGAATTGTAAGTCATACTTTGAGTATTAAAGTGGCATGATGTACAGTGGAGGTTATACATACACTGTTTAAAAGCTGTTAAAAAACATACTATTTATTGCCATATGAAATTTAAACTTCCGACTTTGTAGAAATAGAGTTTGTCGCTGAGCAAACAATGTCGGTAAAGTGGCTTTGCAAAAGCATCCAAACATATTTCCCCAACAATAAAAAAAAAAAATAGTTGAAGGAGAGTCCTGTTTGCCAGAGGTCATATGGCAACATGGTTAACATGTGGAAGAAGTCTGTCAGATGCAAAACTTTATGTGTGCCGCAAAACTACCACTACTCATCATTCTCAGTGGGGGGGGGCATCATGCTATAAGTTTGCTTTACTTCAGATGGCACTGAGAAGATGGTAAAACAAAAAAAAGGGAGCATGAATGGAGCCAAATACATGAAGTTATAGTACTTTTTCAAGCAATTGTTTAAACAATTTATTACGTAGCTTTGACATTACTATTTTTCACCAGACTTCAAAACCTTCATTACAGATTTGCATTAATGCGCAGCTCACCTGTTCTTTTTACTGCCGATCTTCTTGGTGATGGCGGGGGTGATTTCCTTCTCTCTGTCTAGCTTGTCTTTGAGTGGCTGTTCTTTGTCACTGCACTCCTTGTCCGTGGAGTCTCCGTCCGCTCTCACTGCTTCGGGGCGATCGAGCTCGGGCCCCCTCTCGGCCTCGCCCTCGGGCCTCCTCTCTCCCTCTCCGTCGGGCTGCCTCTCCCCCTCACCGTCGGGCTGCCTCTCCCCCTCACCGTCGGGCCGCTCCTTGTCGAAGCGGCCCTCGCCCCTCTCCCTCCGCTCCTTCTTGGCCGGCGGGGGCATGGGGAACTGTTGGGCCACCTGCTGAGCCACCAGTTGGGAGTTGATCCGGGGTTTCCTGTGGGCGATGAAATGTGGATTAGTTTAGGAGAGGTGAGTGAACCTGCAAGCCGCTGCAGAGGTGCCTCCTGGCCGCCGCCGTAGTAATCTCATTAGAGGTTGTAATGGCGGTAATAAAATGAATGCACAGGATCACAAGGCAGGACATTTGCAGCACGTCACTTAGGTGCTCTAATCTGATTACAGGAAGGCCGACTCCATTTGTCAAACACGGCTCAGTCAGACATGGAAAAACTTGCACTGCAAGGCTCTCTGACAGCAAATATACAACTAATAATAGCATGCATATTTACAGGATTTATACCAACTAAAAACTTGTAACCTACATTATAACCCTGTAATTCCGATAGGGCTATAATGATATTTAAGATTCAGTGGTAGATATAAGTGTCCAAAAAGTCAACAAAGCAGGCTGTCGCAGAACAAAGCATTGTACACTACAAGTTAAAAAAAAATTTCTTGAGCCAATAGGACAAGAGTTATAATAAAAATTTAAAATAAAACAAAAAAAATTAAAAAATGTCAACCCATCAGTCTGCAATAACAATCCTTTACTTACAATTTGGTCCAGTTTTGGTCCAATCCAAACTGGAATGAATTCATTTTGAACAAAAAAAAAATTACCAGAACAAATCATTCTTGTTAAATAAAACTTTTCCGCCTGAAGGAAAAACTTCACAATTGAAGATCTCAAATTTTTTTACATTTACAGCCAGGATATTAAAGAAGCTATACGCAATATTTTTTTGAGTTCATAAAAATTCTTATTACTACATACAAGTTGTATTATAATCCATAATTTAATTGAAAACTTGAAATCATTGATTCAGCTTGTGTATGAATTCAGGCCGTAAAAAGTGCTGAGTAGAGACTTTAGCTTAATGCCCGCTCTCCTCCACTCACAGAACGAGGAGCGGTGCTGATACAAACAGGCTGCCTCCTCTAGAGTCTATAGAGCAGGTAAACAGAGTAGCATGTTACCAGAAATGGCTACAACTCCTCTGTAACTGCACAGCAAAAAAGCCCAAACGACGCAACAGTAAGGAAGAGAAGAGGGAACTAAAGCAAAATCAAGCCTGGGTGACCATAGCTAGCTTACATCGTATCCTCTGGAGACAGTCTATGGGAGAGACCTGCGGGTGCGTGATCGCCTCGGACTACATTTGGACGCGAAACTATAGCAGTAATCTTTCAGTTATATATTTTGTTAGCGGTGCGTTGCTTTTGTACCATTTCATCAGTGATTGTCGTACAGCTTACATAAAGTTGCGCTCATGCTAATGTTTGCATACATATCAGATCGCAAATAAAACTAGATGGCTCCGTGGGATAAGAGAGGGGAAATGAGAAGCCTGTGAGCGAGTTGAGGGGCGGTGCTAAACATTCAAACCTTGCAGAAACGGGCATAGCTCCTTTAAATGAAGGCAGAACTTCAACCAATCTATCCATAATGCTGCTTTCGGATTTCACATCAACATCTGAAAAAAACCTTCTTTGCCGATGGTAACAAAAGGTGAAGCTAAACGGCAGGTTCACTCTGACATGTGAGAGAAGCAGGCTGCGGTGAGGAAACAACAAACCGACTGCACAGAGTCACAGGGGCCGAACGCCGCACAGAGCAACAGAGGAGCACGCACTGGAGGAGAGCAACCATGATTCAAGAATTTGCCATTTGCAGTAAAACCACATTGGAAAAACTGTGCAAGACTAACAGTGTGCACCAGATGGAGAAGATAGTACACACCAGGGCTCCTGCCACCACATTACCAGCAGACAAACCACCAGTACATTACTAACCAAATGACACTACATTGGGACGGGACACATTGACTTGATAGAAGTGTACATTAAAAGAACACCCTAATATACCATGCAAATATTTGTATGGCTACAACAAATTTGATTCATGGTTATTATGTATACCGCCTCATTTTGCAGTATTCTTTGTTGATAACCAACAAAAAAGCTTGTATATCTTCAAAGCTTGTATATCTCTTTGTCCACCAGAAGATTTGGACACTGGTGCACTTTCATTTATAAGGCTATGCTTGGTCTGCTGCCATCTTACATCTGCCATTTACTCACACAAAGAGAGGTTGGTTCATATAGTTTGCGATCAAATGATCTTTTGTTGCTCTCTGTTCCTTTTGCCCGAACAGAACTAGGGATAAAAGTTTTTTCACATGCTGCTCCTACTACATGGAACGTGTTGCAAAAAGACTGGAAATTATCTGAATTCTTTTAAATCCAGATTGAGAGCACTTGAGACGTCCTCATTGAAATGTAACTGTTTTTATATTCCGTAATTTTATGAAATTTTATGTAACTGTTTTATGATATGTAAGTGTTTAATAATCTGTATGTATGTGACTGTATGTAACTTTTGTCCAGGACTCCCTTGAAAAAGAGGTTCTTAATCTCAATGGGACTTTCCTGGTTAAATAAAGGTGAAATAAAAAAAAAACAGCTTTCACAATAAGTTCTAAATAATTACAAGGAGCAGCTTCATAATAAATAAACTAAAGGCTCCAAGTCGTATGTTCTCCAGTAACTTCTGAGGTGATTAAAGTAATTGTTTAACCAGCACAAAGAAAACGCTGATCAAGTCATGTGAGGATGCAATAACATTAAGGAGAAAAGTGTGACGAGATTGGGTTCAAAAGATAATTACATTAACATTGTTTTTTTATTTTTTCGCATTGTTGCACAGATGTTCAAACTTGAAAACAGCTTCAAGAAGGTGTTTGAATTAGTTGTTAGATTTTAAGCTGATTAGTTACTAAAACTTGCATAGAAACTGGTCACTGAATGGAGCAAGCATTGATACGATGCAAAACAGGATGAAATGGGACCTCTCTTGAGCAGTTTTGGAATAGTATCAAAACTGCTCAAGAGGATGTAATGAATCAAATTCATTTTTATGAAATCTGGCAGCTCAAAGAATTATACAATTCCAGAAAAGACACACTGTTTATCATTTGGATATCAGCGTCTGTGTAACGCTTTCAGTTTGGCCTGAAAATCTAAAATTTATTTGAAATGATCTATAGGGATAGGTTTGGGTATGCTTAAAGAAGACTATGAAACCCAATAGGGAAGTGCTCGTGGACGAAGTCTTGCTCGTATTGACTTGCATAGAATAGTAAACTCTTCTATAACAACAACTGTTTTTTTGGGCTTGAAGAATCTGGCTTAGTGCTGTCTGTGATCATGGAGTTTGTATTTTGATATTGTCTTTGTAAATCCAGATATGAGCCATATAAGGATCAGAATCGCCTTCATTTGTGAGGCATCCAAGGTGGACTAAGGTAGTCGGTTACCTCACTGAAAGAAACTGGATGGATGATGAAAAGCTCAGCCCAAGGAGGCAACTTTGCCACCGCAAAAAAACCAAACAAAAAACAATCTGAAAACCCTGATTCTAAACGTGTTAAAATTAGCTCATTACACACATCTCGTTGCTTTCGAAAAGGTGCAAAAACAGGTACGAATTAACAGGGCACAACCGTCAGCCTGATGCCGCTTTGCTTTGGGAAGTGGTTTTCAGACGCTGCTCAGTGGTTAACCTCAACATTTCAATTCACCAACACCACAATGTCCCAGCACATTTAACTCTTCTATACTGCAGTGCAAACTCAACAGGAAGATTTATTCTTGGTTTTTCTTCATTATGGGCTCAGGTTTCTGTGGTTTGAGGCTGTAGGGAAGTGAAGGTGAGCGTTCAGCTGATCAGAAGAAAACCAATGTAGAAGTTGTATTGCATTCACAAATTGGTATAGAGCTCTGTTGCTTCAGCTTCATTTAGGACACTTTTTGTATTCGGTTTACTTTCATGTTCTAAAATCACAGTGTCCAATGAACGTCTCTTTTATTTGAATCTTCTTAGATTTTAAGGGTAGACATGGTTCTAAGGTTCACATACAAAAAAGGTGAAAAGTGTCACCTGGAGCATTTTCCCCAATGCATTACATGTCATCTTAAACTGCGGGGACGCTCCGATCATGTTCCCATTTAATATCTCAGTCCTAAGAGCTGCAAGTCAGTCACAATTAGCTGAATCAGATAAGTGGGTTAAATCAGATCAAATACTTGGAACAGCTCCTGTAGGGAACCAGAATGACACACCTTTGGTTCTTTGACATGTTACAATGAGATGCGTGTCAACAGGTAGAAAGGAACAGAGTGGACATTAACAGGAGAAGCTGTCAGTGGGTGTTGACAGGAATGGATGGTACTGCATACATTCATAGGGATTAAGAGTCCATCAATTTTGAAGAGTCAGATACCTGATCCAGGTTGGAAGGCCATTAACTGTGCCAATAGAGCAGCATATCAGACAAAGTGTCATGAAAACATCAGAATTACTTGGAGCTATGGCCAAACAAAGTGTGAGAGGACACCTCTTCACAGGCAGTAATCATTCTGTTTGGCAGTGAGGGCCATTAGGCTGCACGGCGCTGTCTGATGGACTGATTGATGCGTTCAGTGCTCCATGTAGCTGGTGTTAGCCAAGGCCCAGACTCCGACTGGTGTTGGCAGGAGTTCTGGCCACAGTCCTGTGTGGTTTATAAGTGATTCACAGCCAGCTGTAAGTCAGCCACGAGCTGCTGGCTGACACAGACCTGTCTCTTCATGCTCCATTACTTCTCCACTGGTCACACATTATGACAGGCTGCCCTGGGGCTGTAAGGCAGCACTGCACACACTACATAACACTGCCATCTGAACGTTCATTAAAGGACTGAACCGCTGCTATGATCCTAACTACATATCAAGTAACTATGCTCTGAACAACAACCCACCAGACCAAAAATGTGCATTAGGTAGTGCCTGCCAACAAAAACTTAACACTAGAAGACCTGAATGTGAGTAGAACAGTGATGCCCAAACTGGGGCTCGCAGGATAAATATGGCCTGACATTCATGTGAGAATTTGTTATCTATTAAATCACATTTTGGAGTTAAAAGTGTAATCATCAGTACAAAAGCTACTAGAAC